ATATTTTGGCATAATATTTTACATTCTTAAGAATTATAATGTAAGTGAAAGTAAGAAGTAAAATTAAGCTGTAAAATTACGAAATTAATGGTTGTTTTGAATCGGAATAATTCATTTTTAGTGCTTCGTCGGATCGAATTTAAAATTAACTATAAGATATAATAATATTTTCGAAATGTAAAAATAACAAAATCAAGGATTCCATTTTCTAGTATTTTACTAATTCCCTACTAAAAAAAAATTTTAAATAGAAGAAAAAGGTATAATAAAAAATTAATGTATAATTTAACGATAGAATAGTTTTTTTAGAACAGTATTTATTTACATCTTGTTTTTGAACATTTTGCGACAGAATTTTTTTTAATTATAAAATGCATTATGTAAGTATTAAAAAAGTTTTTAACTTGTAAAAGTTGTATTTTACTTTAATAAGTCTTGTTTACTTATACTCACAAATAGTCTAGTAAATCTTTAAAATTACCGTATTTGTACCGTACCGTAATTAATTTGATACAATATTATAATTTATTATAAGCTTTTTCTTTTAATATATAATATATATATATATATATATATATATATATATATATATATTTGAATTATAGAGAAGTATTAGTTGAAAACATTTTAAATAATAATTATATACAAATATTCAATCAATTAAATTATTCTTTCTGACAGTGTATAACATCAACTTATCACTTGGTTATAGGAATGTAGTTTAGTATTTAAAAATTGTTTCTATTTAGTAAATAGTTTTTAGTGTTATTTTCAGAAATCAAAAGTGTTCGATAAATATTGCTAATGCATAATAAATTATAACGATTCTTTTAACAAACAGTTAATTTATTATTGGAATCAACATTAATGACAGGTAGCGTTTATTTCTCTTAAGGATTACCTTACGTCGTTAAAAGCATACAAGTTGCTCTGAATTATAGTATTTTATGGAAATTAGAAAACAATAAAATTTTACACGGATAAACAATGCAATCTCTGAAGAATGGAAAAAATTTTATACATTAGTCGCTACAATGTTTTCACGAGAACAGTAAAGACAACGAATTTTTAATGGAACCCAGGGGATTGAATAACTTGGCCTGAAAGCGAAAGAGACTCGGAAGAGTTGATAATAGATTCATTATATTCAATTAGCCTTGGTTAATACGGTTTAACAACTGGTTTTGATGTTCAACTGATTGGTACATTCAACAATTGCGATTATATTTGACCTGAAGGTAAGCTAATTAGTAGCAATTGCGAACCAAGTAATTAAAATTTGTATAAAATATGTAAAATTTGTATAAAAATTTATATAAAACTAACGAATAAAAACTCGTTTTTATGTAAGCGAAACAATTTTGTCGAACGATGCGTATTGCCATTGACATGGGATGAATTTTATTGCCCAACATCGTCGCGATTCGAATCTTCCCGAGTACAGTCGAGTTCACCCTACCCAAGGACATCTTCCCATTTGCGCTGTGACGTCAGTAATTTATACGATTAACTTACGATTACTTATACAAGCGTAAGAAGGGCGTGTGTGAAATCCGTACACGAGCCGTACATGAATAGAAATTTCTCGGATGTACCTGTAGATTGATGATTCCAAGTCGATCTCTCCTGATCGGTCTTGCGAAACTACGTCGTTCTCAAGGAGAGCTTCATTTCCTGACATTTCTCCAACGAGATTTGCTTTTCACATTCTCCTATGCCGAGCGTTCGTTATCCGAAATAAAGTTGTTTTTCGGCAGAATTTTTACGATCGCGTTTCAGCGTTAGCGGACAATATTAACATCTCAATTAATAATTAATAATTGCAATAGAGCAATAAACCCATCATTAGCTATATCTTATGCTATACTCTATATTTTAAAGAGCATAACTTATAAACGGATTTTATCTGTTAGTTATTATACTATTGTTATTAGCGAGACTAAATACGTTTTCGAAATGTAGCAAAGTGATAAAAGTTGGATTAATTAATTACTATTCATTTAGTCATATTTATAGGTTTTAAGTTCAATTATGATTTTGTGAAGTATTACCTTGATAATTCCATTTTTTAATTTTTTAATAAATTTGCTTCAATTGTTGTGAATTATTGTGCTAATTGAAGTGATGTTTATTAAATTTCATTACTTATAAAACGTGAGGTAATTTCAAGCATGTGCAGATGCATATTATGTACTAGTTTATACTATTATGTACTATGTTAATTTAATGTCGATATATGTAAATATAAATTACTTCAATACAATGATTTATAATGTCAAAAATGTTGTAAAAATCTCACTGTCATCATGTTTTCAGCAGTTAGCATTCTCAGAACTATTATCGTTATGCTTATTTTTTTTTTATTTTTTTTTTGCTGCATCACTTCATTTTAATCTATTCTGTAATTTTTGCAATAATATGCTTATTTATTACGTAAAATAATATTAGCCGATTGTTTCAATGATCCAAGAATACAAGTAGAATCGAGAATATTCAGAATTAAAGTAAAATTATCAGTTATAAAGTAAATTTAATAATAAAGTACATTATGGGATATATTAGAATGTTTTGTATTTTTAAAAATTTTTGGCTGCACAAATATTGGTGCAGTTTGTGAATATGAAATTACAATTTATTATAATACTTTTATCATATGCAAGCAATTGTTTACAATGTGTAAAGATACTACGCTGTACCTGGTGTTTGTTTAGAAAAGTAACTTGTTTGTTTATAAAAGTTCCCTGTTCATAAAGAATTGTTTAGTTAATATTTAGTTTTTGTTTGAATAAGTAGTACCAACTCCTGCCACCAGTGACATGACAATGTTATCCATTTATTTTATCATTGAAACAAATCTAATGTGGCGATTTAATTATTATATATAGTTTATTATAAACGATAACATTTTATTACAAGATCATATGATACATTAGAATGTATTAAATTTGATAGAAATTAAGTAATTAAGTAGCATAGAACTTTTAATTAAGAAAACTATTTTTAAAAAGTAAAGATTATACAATAATCTTATACAAGATTATATAACACGATTATAATTTGACTACATTAAATATAAATAACATTAAAAATAATAAAATTTCACGAATAAAAATAAATTTCGAATAAACACTCAAGGATTGATTAAATATTAAAAAATAATAAAGATTTACGTTAAAAATCGAAAATTAAATAGTAAATACTAGATACATTTTACATTAGATATTAAATGTATCTAATATAGAAAATTCTTTCTATTGAAATTTCTTTCTAAAACTATAACTATACATCCTGTACATACATAGATAAATAAAAAATAATAAATAAAATATTAACCACTTTTTCATTGGTTTTCATTATTTTTATCTTTACGCTCTTATGTAATTCTATTAATTAAAATACTTCATACTATTAGACTTTTATAAAAAAATATATATAATATGTAAAAAAAGACGGTTCATATATAATGATCATTTAATTATTAATACGAAATTAAATTTGCAAAAAATCATTTAGTAACCATAATTTGTCTGTTATTTATTTAATTATTTAAATGTTCTGTTGGATGATAAAGTTATTATTTTGATTGAATTGTAAAATAATTCTGTGTATAATATATATATATATATATATATATATATATATATATAATTGAAAGAAGATAAAAAACAAACGTTTAGATAAGATAGTTTTTTCACGTTCATTGTGTAAGCGAATTATAGTGATTTAAGATAATATATTGTAAAAGAAAAATATACATCGTAAGGAAGACGATGAATAAATAAATAGAATATTTTTCAGTAATAGTTAATCAACTATATAATTTAATAAAATAGTAAATCATTTTACCTACATTTATAGATAACAGATGATAAACTTGATCAGTTATTGATAAAGAAAAGAATTTTAAAGCATTTTGATGATTGCTCATTACACATGTGGTTACGCATAAAAATGATATTAATAATTAAAAATTATAAATGTAAAATTTATGTTCAATCCATTATTGCTTATGAATAATCATATCACCATTAATTCGCTATTAATTTAGTGACAATTATATTTATAAATTCTTAATTAATCGTTATTAAGACATAAAATTTATAAAAAAAAAAATACATTATTATAATATATTAAATATAAAGTATCGCTTGACATGAAATTAAAACTTGGTTTTCGGCCAGCACCTACGACAAATCCTACTTATTATTTTCATCCAATACATTGCTCTCATTCTCTTTTTCTCTTCTCCCTCTCCTCTCTTTCATTTACAAAACTTTTCTTACCTCATTCCAATCAAACTTAATCTCTTTCATACATAGAATGGAGTACAATTCTAACTATATTTCATTAAAATTTTCTTAGCACAGTTTAAGGCTAAAGTTTTTATTTATCTTTATCTATTATGCATAGAAAAAAAATTATTACATTATTTATTTATTGTTATAATATATGCATTTATAAAAGGTGCAAAAAAGTAAACGAATAATATTGAAAAATGTTATTCGGTATTACAAGATTAATATTTCATACTAAACTATTAAAATATATCTGTAATGAAACTATGATTTATGATTAGAGTAAATTAAAAAAAACAATTTTTACAATTATTTATTAAGCTGGTAAAATGTATATTGCCAACGAATAAAATGATGTTGCAAGATGTCAATTGGTTATTAATTTCCGGTTAATTATGACATGTTTTCGTACGTCAAAATACAATGTACAATAAATATATATATATATATATATATATATATATATGGACATTTTTCGAATTTGTTACTTTCATAATCATATGAGCTATTAATTTTTGCTATTTTTCTTTATTAAAGCTTCAAATTGTTTTTGTCCCGAAGATAAATTTGACTACTCACATAATACGAATAATAATATTGTCAGATAAGATATTTTGAGGTACATAGATTATCTTGTAGCTAAACAGATGGGAAGACGAGAGGAGAGGGAGAATCGTCGAAACGTATGTTCCTAAACATCTACTCTTTTAAAATCTTAGTACCATTGTTGGTAAGCTAAGAGCAAGAAGTAAATTCTGGAGTTACTGACGCTTCCGTGGACTGAATTCTCTCTTCTTTAACGATTATAATAATTGAGTCATGGCCCCTCCACCTGAACCTCGGAGTAATCAACGTATTAAGTTTGATCAGGTAATTCGTTAAATTATTCGTTATAATAGTAATTATTATTCGTTATTAAACATTAATTATTCGTGATAATAGATTACATTTTTTAAAAATCAACTAATAACTTAGTAGACATGCGACCTTATAAATTAAAAATGTTTAAAGAAAAATTATTGATAATTATTAACAGATAATTATTGTAAATATTATATTGTTATAAATGTTAAAATTTTAATTTAAAAATGTCGAAAATTTAATTCAATGAATAATTTTATCGAATAATGTTATATTTTATTTTATGAATTTAAATATTTCTGAACGGTATTTTTGATTAAATTTTTCATTATTTTTCGAATGCATTGATTGATAATGCATACGTTTAATATAATTATTTTTTTGTTACCTTATGGCTGATAGTGTAATATTTTCTTACTTTTAACATTAAATAATTATTATTACTAATTAACATTATTCGTATACATTTTTGTAGAATTATATAATAACGAGAATCAACTAACAATAGTATCATTCAAAACAATACGTACATTAGAATTTCATTAATAATTAAATTAAATGAAATATTATAGATATTCTTTAAGTTATTACTTTGTGATAGTGATTTACTGTTATTAAAATTGTAAAACATTCAGCCGCATAATTATTAATCCATATTATAGTATTAAAAATTATATTAAAAAAAAAGAAGAAGAAAAAAGATAACCGTAGCTTTAGTTAATAGAAATTAATGAATTCCAAAAGAGGAACGCCTCTGTCGGAGAAAAGTGTGAATAGATAAAAGAGATATGAAAATTCTAAACATTTATAAAGGTTTCAATGAGCTTATACTATCTTATTTATACGCAGATCGATAGTTTTTATAAAAATTTTATTAAGGGAATATGAAAATTCATAGACTTTATATAAAATAAAGATGTTATATGAAATTTAAGGGGCATGACTTATTGTATGGAAAATATTAATATTCTAATTGGGTTTTATATTACTCATGCGGTGATTAATCATTTGTACATATTCGTATTTTTGGGTATTCTTTAACTGTGGTAGTCTACTATTCGTCCCAGGAAAGATAATATTATAAATACGAGATTGAATTAATGAGATATTTGTTCTTTTTTTTTTTTTTTTTTTTTTTTTTTTTTTTTTTATTGTTTTCAAGGACAATAGCTGAACAATTTGTTTTAGTCTAAGCCGATATTTCCATACGTATAAGAAGAATCTATAGGTCTAATAATCAAATTTAAAAATATTTTAGATATTATTTGTTCCAAGCTATTTTCTAAACTACTTGGTTTATGATTATTCACAAGTCATCTTTTATTCAATCATCCATTGGTTTCATTAATTTAATTAATTATTTATAATAACGAACTACTTTCTCCAAACACGCTGTTCCACATTTAAAACGGATATTTAAGTCATGTCGATATTTTTAAGGGAACTTTATCTTACGTTATTATCAATGTTTATAAAATACATTATCTTCTTTTAGTTATTTATAAACAACGAATTCGTCAATTCAGTCAGTGGAGAGACGTACACTAGTGTCAATCCATCAACCGAAAAATTATTAGCAGTCTTACAACAAGCTAATGAAGTAAGAATAATTTTATACTAATTTTTTAAGAAAAGAAGCAAATGCTGCAATTAGAAATGGCTATAATCGGTGCATTTTATATTTAAGGTTGATGTAGATAAAGCCGTGAAGGTCGCAAGGGATGCATTTGAGGTAGGATCACCATGGAGGAGTCTAACCGATTCAGCTCGTGGTTTACTTCTAAATAAGGTGCGTGTAAAATGCACAAATCGGTAATAATAAATGATATTTATTGAAAGTGATGTTTGATGCAGCTCGCCGATTTGATCGAGGAAAATGTGAATGAAATTGCAAATTTAGAATCGTTAGATAATGGAAAACCTTTCATTCAATCCTATGGACAAACATTAGAGGCGATAAAATTCGTGCGCTACTTTGCTGGATGCACTGATAAAATTCATGGAAAAACCATTTCATCCGGTACATTATTTCGATATAATATACGTTTGAGTGATAAATTAATCAAAGATACAGAATGGCAATGATTTTGTTTTTGTTCGATCAAAGATGGTGGGGTACTAGTCTATACTACAAAAGAACCGGTTGGAGTAGTTGGAATCATAATACCGTGGAATTATCCAATAGTTCTTCTCAGTTTTAAACTCTCTATGGCATTAGCGGCCGGTTGCACGGTTGTGGTCAAACCTGCTGAGCAAACAACATTAAATGCACTCTTCTTGGGGCATTTAATAAAAGAAGCGGGCTTTCCGCCCGGTGTGGTCAATATCCTTTCATGTTCTGGCCCTGCAGTGGGAATCGCACTTACACATCACAAAGACGTTGACAAGATTTCTTTCACTGGATCAACAATGGTAAGTTATTCATTAACGTGATAATACGAACGAAGAAAGCCATTACAATTTATCGATATTTACGACTCGGCGATTTAATTATCGAGGGACGGATTATTACACCTAAACTTATCGATGTCATTTTTTGCACCATCAATCCTTTTCAAAAAGTTTGTAAAAATAAATTCAAAGCTGCTAATTAAACATTGAATGAATAAAACTTGAATGTATGAGGAAATTTTTTTTTTCTTCATAATTGTGCGATTTGCATATCACTACTCCCATGCACACAAATATTTATGTGAATCTGCATATATTTAAAGGTGTATATATTTATAATAAATTAATCGCCTAATCAGGTATTGCGAAAAAAGGTAAAAAGAAGTTTTAGCCGGATATCTTATATTTGCATTCTAATTTATTTTTATACAATAGGTGGGCAAACTTGTGCTAGAAGCAGCAGCAAAAAGCAATTTAAAAAAGGTCACTTTGGAATTGGGAGGAAAAAGTCCTGCGGTCGTGTTTAATGACGCCGATTGTAAGTAAAATATTGAATTCTCGTTATTGCTCGATAACGATAATGTATGAGGGGTTGGAGTGGGTGAGGGGGACATTTAGTAATACGCTTATTAACGTATACATTAACATTTTGTAGTGGATCTAGCGCTTAAATACATTTCTCAGTCCGTTTTTGTAACGGCTGGCCAAACTTGCTTTGCCCCGACTCGTCTCTATGTACAATCTGGAATTTATGACAAATTTGTCCAGAAATTTATCGAAATTGCTTCAAAAATAAAAGTTGGTGGACCATTTGAGGCTGATGTATTTCAAGGTCCGCAGGTAATTTTATAAATTTCATATTTAACAATTTAATCTAGTCATTGAGAAAGCTTTGATCGACGTATAAAATGCAATATTTATGTTTTATATTACATTATGTAACATATAATATATTGGACATCAGTTAATAATTAATCGTAATGTTTTTAACAATTAATTTGACAGCTGAGTTGCAATCGGAAGCACATTCAAATTATTAATATTATATACAAATTTATGTAATTATTATGATATTATCTATTCCTTTGTAGATTGATTCGGTATTTTTGGAAAGAGTTTTATCATATATTGAAATTGGTAAAAAGGAGGGAGCGAAATGCGTATTAGGGGGTAAGCGACACGGTAGTGTTGGCTACTTTATAGAGCCTACGGTATTTACGGAAGTTACCGATGATATGACAATCACTAAAGACGAAGTGAGTATACAAGCTAATTTATACAATTTAAGCACGTCAATCGCTAATTTGCATGTGATTGAAACATAACATAAACAAAAACAAAAACAAAAACGAAAACAAAAACGAAAACAAAAAAAAAAACAAAAAAATAATAAAAAAAAAGTGATTCACTTGAAAGTAACTTTTTTGAAAGTGGCTTCATCACTAATATGATATGATAGAAAAAGTAATTTTATATTATTCGAGTATCTATTTTCTATGCCTGTGTACGTATACTGAAAATAAACAATAGCCACTCACAATGGATCTTCAAATTATTCTGCTTAAATTTCATTAGATATTTGGTCCAGTAGAAATTATTTTTAAATTCGATACATTGGACGAAGTTATACGCCGAGCCAATAATAATAAATACGGCCTGGCAGCCGGTGTCTTTACCGAAAATTTGAATACCGCAGTACAATTTTCAAAAGCTATTCAAGCCGGCACCGTTTGGTTAGTACAATTATATATATTTCAATTTTTAATTAATAAGATAGACTTTTATCTTGAAATTATCAATGTTCAATAGGGTGAACCAATGGGCAAACCTTTCTCCCCAAACGCCTTTCAGCGGTCATAAAATGTCTGGTATGGGTACCGAATTGTAAGTAAAAATGTTTTAAATAATCACACTTAAGCAAACGAATTATAACCTCATTAAAGCGATATATTAAACGTTTCAGAGGAATAGATTCGCTCGACGGGCTAATGAACACAAAGGTTACAAACATTCGCTTGTCCAGTGACGAGTAATCGTAATTTATGCATTGACCGACGTTTGCCAACGATTAAAATACTTAAATACCTTTGTTATTTTCGAACTGTAAATATAGTCGGTGAATAAATACATGTTTTTTTAATTTTTTTTTGTTTCTGTTTTTTTTTTGTTTTTGTCAACTTTTGTTTCTTCGTTATTGTTCCATGAAAACCTCGATTGTCGCCAATGTGTTTGTTATTCGCCTCTATTATCGGCTTTATTTCACACGTCAGTCAACAAACATTTTCAATTTCTCATATATATATATATATATATATATATATATATATATATATGCAAATGGATATTTAGATTAGTCGGTTGGCGATTAGCATTTAGACGCACCTAGTGACATCTAGCAGTGTTCAACCGGAATTAGACGAGGGCTGACACTGATAAGGCCGTCTGGCTTGTACATGAATTTTCTCGTGCACGGAAGCTCTCGTGGCCGCGTGTGCTTCGTATATGTGGATAGTAAAAGAAAATTGCGCGAAAGGTCGCGGAGGGGCCTCGAGGCGACGCTTATCATGCTTGATATTGCGTAAGCGACGTTGCGATGAGAACGCGAGTTCGTTATCGCTATTCGTTGATGCGAGCAGTGTTATTCGATCATGATTCTGAGTAAGTTGTATACGCGTTCGACACGGCGTGGGTCGAAGTTTTTTCGACTTTCGTTACCCATTAATGGCCGACCAAGTTGCAGAAATATCCATTTTACGTATTATCCCGACACGAGAACCGTTAGAACAGGTGACGATTAAAATTATTTTAAATTGTTATTATGTTATGGTTTGGCGATCGTAAGCTTATCGTAATATAATAGACGTTTGCCTTGTAAGTCAGCGTGATAATTTGGAGAAGAGATTGAAAAGAAGTAAGCGTTGGGCGAATTTTCGCGCTAAATTTACATTTCATTAACGATTTTTACAGGAGAGGTGAAAGAGATGAATATGTTTCAAGCCATAAACAATGCTCTACATCTGTTTTTGGAGAAGGACAAAACGTCAGGTAAATCAAATATACAAATTGGTATATTATTAATTTTATTAATTACTATAATCGCGAAGCACCTACATAGAGATGCAATGTCGAGTCGCATGTATGATAAGCGGCCGGGGCATTAGCCGAGAACCGCAAGGTCTCTTAACATCGGCCAATGTGATTAATGATTAGCAATGACCGATCGCGCCAAATCGATAGATCAATGACGATTAGTTAGCGATTAGCATACGGCATTGGCAGCAGTCTCCTCTCCTTCCCCTCCCCGTCGCACCGCCATAAGGAAAGGCCGGCCGATCGCACAGCCGATTCTCATCAACCATGATTATCCATCGAAGCAGCGTGATGTCAAGCGTGGTGGGCGCGATTCTGTTTCAGTGTTCTTCGGCGAGGACGTGGAGTTCGGCGGCGTGTTCCGCTGCTCGATTGGCCTGAAGGATCGTTTCGGACAAAGTCGCGTGTTCAATACACCACTGTGCGAGCAGGGCATCGTCGGCTTCGGCATCGGCCTCGCGAACGTGGGAATCACGGCCATCGCGGAGATCCAGTTCGCCGACTACATATTCCCGGCGTTCGATCAGGTACGCGGCGATCCTCTACCGGACGCCGATAAGGCAGGGCTCTGCGCCCAAGCCTCTCCCCCGGCCCCTCGTACGTTGGCCACATTGCCGAATGGGATGTGCGTGACGATAGTCATGTATGTGTGTTTGTCTGTCTTTGGTTTCGGCAGTTGGTAAACGAGGCTGCCAAGTGTCGCTACCGCAGTGGCGGCCAATTCGATTGCGGTAAGCTGACGGTACGAGCACCGTGCGGTGCCGTGGGCCACGGGGCGCTTTACCACTCGCAGAGTCCGGAGGCATATTTCGCACACACGCCCGGGCTCAGGGTCAGTTATGTCGAATAAGCTTGGACAGGGGCTGCATTAATGCGGCCGATTAAAAAGCTAAGTACGAGTCGAATTGCCAAGTACGGGTCGAGGCGAGTGTCTCCTTTCGCGGCAGGTCGAAGTACCTCTTTGGCGGGGTTGCGTTTCAAGGTCGGCCGCGACATTTTCCCGATTATTTACGAACGATCGGCTCGACGCGTTATTTCCTACGAGATAACGGCTGCCCCAATAACCTGATTATTACGCTCGTGATGGGGCGCAATAAAATTGCGACGAATTATCGGCGTTTAATAAATTATCTCCTCGATTATTAACGCCTCGACCCGCTTTTAGTTGGCTTTGGCGAGCACGAGACGGAGTGTGGATTAAGGAGGGTGTCCTTTAATCGGCAGTCGATCCGTTTTAGGTGGTTGTGCCACGAGGACCGGTGCAGGCCAAAGGTCTCTTGTTGAGCTGCATCGAGGAGCAAGATCCCTGCATATTTTTCGAGCCGAAGATCTTGTACCGCACGGCCATCGACACAGTGTCGTTGGATTATTACAAGTTGCCGCTCGAGAAGGCTGAAATTGTACGCGAAGGTTGGTGTGGCTCGCTTCGAACGAGTCTTCATTATTTTCACACGCACTAGTCCAACGCAATCGATCGAACGTAATGGAAAGAGAACAAACAATAAAAAAAAGTGATCGAGAGGGAATGAAGAGAGAAAAATAAATAAATAAATAAAGAAAGAAAGAAAGAAAGAAAGAAAGAAAGAAAGAAAGAAAGAAAGAAATAGAGAGAGAGAGAAAGACAAACAGCGAGTAAAAATGGAAGGGACTGGAAGGAAGGGAGATAAACGAATGATTTAGCTTTTTTTCATAAAATTCTTTACCCTGGTTGTAATGTGGCGTTAGAATGCGTGGAAAACCATTTCCTACATTTTCATACGTTTATAATTTTAAATCTCTGTCTTAATATCGAATTAATTGCTTATTAATGAGTTCGATCGTGGCAGTGGCGATGTTGATTTATTACTCGGGAAGCGCGCATAAAGCGTGACCGAGCATCCCCACGCGCAATTTCCCTCTCCATTGCGTAATGATGATGCATAATGAGCCTTCCAAAGCTCGTATTTCTAGGCACATTTTATGTTTCGCCAGGAGACGCAATAACGCTGATTGGCTGGGGCACGCAGATACACGTCCTACTAGAGACCGCCGATCTCGTGCAAAACGAGCTTGGCGCATCTTGCGAGGTTATAGACCTCTGCTCGATACTCCCGTGGGATGCTGAGACGGTTTGTAATGTAAGGTACCTTTGCCACTTTGACACTCGACGTAACGTCGATACGCTCGCGCCCAGGTGCGCATAATAAAGGGAGAATTTAAGGAAATGATTGATTTTCGCAGTCGGTTAAGAAGACTGGACGAGTCATCGTCTCCCACGAAGCCCCGTTGTCCCAAGGTTTTGGAAGCGAGATCGCAGCGACAATTCAGGTTTGATATATCGGCATTATTTGCATTTTATTGGCGGATAATCTCTGGTTAATTAAACCGGCCGATAATAAGCCGGCCTTTTCGATATTGAATTAACGAGTGGGGCGTGAGAGTGGATTGGGGGAGGGAGGGAGGAAAGCTTAATATTGGATTTAGTGTTGGAGGGAGTGTTGATATTCGTTTAATGGGTCGATTAGGCGATTACGATGGCAATGGGCGCGTTGATTGAGGAATATCGGGAATTGAAGGAGAGCGCGATAAGCTCTCGTACGATAGATTTTCTTGGATAAAGCGAGATTTCTCCGTGTCAAAAAGCTCCCACTAAGCTGTACATATATTTGAGTTGCAGGAAGAATGTTTTTTAAGCCTGGAAGCTCCTATTGGAAGAGTAACGGGCTGGGATACGCCATTCCCTCACGTACACGAGCCATTTTATCTGCCCGATAAGTGGCGCTGTTTTGAAAGTATCAAAAATACTTTGGAATATTGAACGCCACTGTATCTGCACACGATTATTATTAAAGTGAGGCAGTTTTTGCAAGAGTCGGATTCTTTTTTGTATAAAGCCACGAACACTTTTGCATCACGTGAACACCTAAACCGGTCTGGTAACGACAACTTTATCTTGCTTTCGGTGTGATTATTCACCAATGTAATACCCACCTAAGGGGCAATGGATTTAAAAAAGAAAAAAGAATGACGTATAATCACACAAAATATCTTGCGGCAATTAATCTTTATACACGGAATAATAATGAGAAATTAATTTCAAAGCCTACAGTACTTTATTGCTTAACAAAATTGTCCGTAAAATGGAATCTCTGTATCGGGACAATTTTTATTCAATGCAATACGAGGAATTATATCCAGTAGAGGCATTTTCTTTTATTTACATACTTAATTTCACTTTGTCGATAGTACGCTTTTCTCATTCGAGCATTTTTTTTTTGTTTTATTTTTATTTATATATTTTTTTTGTACTCTTTCGTATGAAAAATAGTTAATATTATTCCGTTTTACATATTCTAATTCATTATTAATGTAAATTACAAGATTTGAAAGTAACTCTGATTAATCTGGTATCGGAATAAAAACGTTACATATGCAAGTTTGTACATTTATAAAATATATATATATATATATATATATATATATATATATGTATGTATAAAAGAAATAAAGCACATTTTAATCAAGTAACCGATTCATTTTTTTTTTATTATTATTATTATACGATTTATCTTATTGTAATTGAAAATATAAATTAATATAAAATGTAATAAATGCAATGAACATTAGTGTTAAAACTCATTTATTTAAATAATAATAAAATTACACGCACATTAATTGTCGAGAATTTTTGAGAATAAACTTCAAATATATATTTTCTTTACTCTTCTTCTCATTGTTTCTTTAACACAAGTATTAAAAATTATTATTAATTGATATTGATAGTTTGACGCTAATATGCAGCGAAGTAGTAATTAAATAAGGAAATTTTATATACGACAAATAGTGAGTAGATATTATGAAATGGAAAATTCAATTTTTCTACGAAAAAACGGTAAAAGCATTCCATTACACTCATTAGATTGGAAACGAAATAAGTTGCTCAAATCTTTTGTAAATTACAAACATAATCATAATGCGTCTATAGAAGCATAGACGTACACAAGCGCGCAAGCGCTAAATGATATGTGTGAATATAATTTCTTCAGCTAAATCCATAACTTATATTATGCATTAAATAATTGAGCCAAGTATTTAATATGAAAGCACTTTATTATTTAGCCTTACATCATTCATATCAACTTAATTAAATCTAAGAATTTAATAAAATATTTAGTTATATTAATTAAGCCGATGCTGTAATTTAAAAATTATTTTATTACCGATAAATCGAGCAAATGCATTTGAACTACTTTTTAATATACTTTGAATTATTTTAGATTCATAATTTTAATATTCTATATTCGATAGTCTACGTGCAGATCTATAAAATTAATATTTCCTACGTAAAGGAATGATTTTTGTAAGTTAACTATTGTTAATAATAAATAATAAAGAATAACGTAAAGGTACAAAATATTTAATTTAAGATTATTTTTTCACAAAATCCTATAATAAATATAAATATTATAGGATCAAAAGAATTTATTATGTTAATATCGTTTGATATTACATTCTATGCGACGCAAAATAGTGTTTTATAAATAGTACATGAGAGACGTGCGATAATACAATTTAAGCATAGATTTAAGCCAATTTTATTTCATAAATAATCCAGAAGGACTTGATTTCTGTTAAATAAGTATATTTATTATCCATTAAGTAGATTAGAATTAATTGATTTAAAGAAAATTGAGCTATTTGCAAATTTTTCAGCTATTCAAATCGAGAACAGTTGACATATATTATTTAGGTGTCGTTGCATGCAAATTGTTCGATCACTTTTACAGAATGATTTATCAGATTTATGATTATTATTATGCAAACAAGAAGTAAAACGTTAAAGTAAAAAATTAATATACTTAATGTGATGTTATTTTATTTACATCAAACATAACTATTAATATTTTAATCTTCAATATTTAATAATCTTTTTATATTTTTAAATTAGAGGTTGTCGTGAATTTTGTACTCGATAAGACAGTCTTATAAATATTTATCGATGTCGCATTAATGATGTAGGAAATATGATATTTCATTCAAAGTTATTAAAATACAAAAACACATGCAGTGTATCTTGCATAGTCATCATTAATATTACAATAAAAATAAATTTTTAGAAGATAAAATTTGTATGTTGAAATTATTTTTTGTTATTCTACGGGACACACATTTATCTATATTTATTCAAATAATGAGAATCGTCAATAGCGCTATATCAATAACGATAAATAGTTTTGTATAATACAATAAAGGAATAATACAATTATAATATTAAAACTGATGTTCAAAAAATATTATGTACAAAAATTTTTTAAATGAAGGAGAAAAAAAAGTAAAACTAATTTAATTACACGTTCGTATATTACATATTGTAATTATGAATATTAGAAATATTATACAATACAGCATAATGGGATATTTGATTATCTTATAAAGCAACAACTGAATATTAATCTTTATTAAGAGATTTGAAATTAATTAGTTTATTTGATTGTAGTCGTCCGTACGTTCGGTAATTGTAAGCGAAAGTTTTTATAGGTTTCAAAGGAACAGAGCAAATTAATTTCTCTTTCTAATAAAAAAAAAAAAAAAAAAAGAGCGCTAAAAGTATATAATATATAAAAGTATTTGTTGAGACTAGAAAGAAAAGCCATATATAATTTAGGTTAATTGTGAGACCTTTTACATCTTACGACCTTTTTCTTGCTTACAAAAATAATAATTTTTCCAAAAATAACCAGACGATGCCTCATTCACCTAATTTCAATGATCTAGGAAAATATCTAAATGTCTCTCAACGGATTGCACGATGTGTCAAATCAATGATTAATCATTTTAGTCACTCTTTCTATTATTACAAAACGACGGGACAAAAACTCACAAAATCTAAAACTAATGAAAACGCATGGAAACGAATCTTCCCTATTATGCTCGCGCATTGCCACATCGACATCGAGCGAGCAGTAGCGTGTCCAAGAGAGAGAGAGTGAGAGAGAGAGAGAGAGAGAGAGATAGTGAGAGATAGTGAGAGAGCGAGAGAGAGTGTGAGTGAGTGAGATAGAGAATGAGAGAGAGAGAGAGAGAGAGAGAGCGAGCGAGCGAGTGGTGCGGAGTTGCGCGTCGGCGCGGTGCGGTGCGGTGGCTGTTGGTAATCCGCGCGCTTTAGCCTTGCTTTCCTTCAAAATAACGCCTCGATCGCGCGCAATCGTCAAGTGCACAGAGCTAATCACAGTGGGATAAGAACAGCTGAGCGCGCGTTCCAGCCGGGCACCGCACCCACACAAGAAACACACGCACACAGGTAGCCACGTGAATATAGTCTCGATGCCGAAGGAAGCGTGCGCGTGTGCGAGCGAATAGCGCGCGCCGACTGTATTTTGTAATTTGAAAGGGAAACCACATTCTTTCACCGTGTATTATGATACGTGAAAGTTGGCCGAGTCGCGCTCGCGCCCTCCGCCGATACGATACCATAGTATGTAGTCGTTGTTGACTAAAGCGACTCGCGCATGCACACTAATGCGCCGAAGGTCGACCGCTCGGCTACCGTACGATTTCTTTCCATCACGCTCGATTTCAAGCGGCCGACCTTATCTAGCTGGACACCCTCGTGGCCGGCGGACGCTGTCACGAACCAAACGGCGGAAAATCGGCTCGCACTGACAACCTGTGAGGGAGAGGAGGAGGAGGAGGAGGAGGAGTGTCGGTATCGGGCAATCGGCGCCCTGGACAATGGACGCGAATGAAGGTCAGCCGATCGCCCCAATAGTTTCCCAATTCGGCGGATCCGTAATAAGATAAAAGTGCGAGCCTCACCAACGGATGGCTAATCATCTCGTCGGTATTGCGCCCAATGTGCCCTAGGATACGAGACCTCGAGGATTCCATTGTTATGGCTAGGAGCCTTGCTGAGGCTCAGCTATGATCGTGTCAAGTTAATGTGGGAGCGAGTCGATCGTATAGCCCCGCCTCCCCGGTATGTTTTTCAGCCACTAGTCCAGATACAGAGATAGAGAATAAGGTGTATGGGCAAATTCATAATCCGTGTTCACAATCGGAATTTTTGCACTGGATTATGTAACGGCCGGTAATATAATAGCTTATTTGTTTGAACGTGCATGGAACAAAGCGCGAACGTAGGAGCTCGAATGATTTAATGCGCTTGTCGACCTGTTGCGATGAAGAATTATAAATTATTTACCCTTTATACGGGGATTTTTCACATCTGAAAAGTTTAATTAAATCATTGGGTTGGCGTTTTCTTGGCAACTGGTTCGTGAATATTTCGTCAAATAAAATACCTTTTAAACGTTACATTTCATCTACACGAC